TTGGGCATGCTCTTTCATCGTGGCCGGGCTTCCGACAGTGCCCACAGAAGACTCGTTGGGGTTTCGTGCGGCAATCAGATGCTCTGTGGCCGGGTCGATCACAGACGAAACATCTAAGAGGAGGCTGGGTATAAGTAAATCCTTCTTGCTCCTTGGGAATGTTGTTTGCAGACTTGGTACGAAATACCAACAAGTTTGCTTGCCGCTGGGCTTCCAAGAAGGTATCAGCTGCTTCTGCCATTTCTTTTACCGTCCTGCATTTCTTCTCCCTTAGAAAAAAGTGCCAGGCGATCGTGGCAGTTATTCAGAAACTGCTCAGCTACAATGAGGTTGCGCACGGATGCAAAGTCTCGTCCGTTTCCGACATTCCAGCAATCTATCGAAGTAACTCTGTAATCTCGTGGCGTACTGTTTACCAGTTTCGCCGTCTTCAGGCTTGCTTTACCGAAACTTTTCGCGATAGCCTTCGGCTGTGAAACGAAACCTCTGAAGCAAGGCCATTTTCGTACTCTGGTAATCCATTGAGTCTTCTGGCGACAGACGACCGAAGACTTTCAATGCTTCCCCACTGAGGCATAAACTAAGCGCTGTCGCCCACTTCTCCTCAGGCCACTCTTGACCAACTGCTACGCGTTCGAACCTCTTGAGATACGCATCGAGATCGGTCACGCCCCTCGTCAAACACTGGAATCAGGTTGTGAGGATTGATCAAGCACGGGCGGCTTTGACTCCTCTCAGGTTCGCGGTCCCGCGCTGTTGGCTCTCGGCTACCTTCAACCTCAGCTAGTCGAATTCGCAGTTGAAGAGTTCTCTCTTCTATCTCCAAACGTTCCTTCGCCGCCTGCCTTTCCGCGGAACGCTCTTCACGCGCTTGCACAGATTCCTCATGAGCCCGCTCTAACCGCGCGTCTACCCACGTCTTTAGCTCGGCTCCTTGAAGCCCCATGCGTTCCGCTAGCGTTATAAGCTCTTGCTCACTCATCTTCTCTACAGATTTCAACCCAGTGCAAACGGCTTCGTCCTGTCGCGCGGACGCCAATTGTGAGGGATAAGGTTCGGGTAATCACGGCAACTTAAATAATCGTTGTCGAGACGGACGAAGACATTTGCAACTTGAGTTATAAGGCTTTAATGCCACAACAAAAAAGAAAAAAACGATAATGAAGCTTGGCGTGTTACATGGCAACAGCGAAGAACTGCCTTAGGTACGAGCACGACACACGTTCTCGAAAGACAAGGTCTGACGCTTAGCGTAGCCCCCCACTGCACTACACAAGGTTTGAAACACTTCACCGTGTGACGTCGAAGGCAGATGAGTCGATGCGTTGCGCTGCGTCTTACGCCGACATCAGCGATGACTCAGGCATGGTCGGAGCGGAGCGTGAGGCAGAGTCGATGTGTGGCAAGCACGTCCCGGACAGCCAGTAGTAGGCCCAGGTCTGGAGAACGCCCGGATCCGAGTACAACGGACCGGCGCCGGCTGCTGGATCACACGGTAGAAGGGAGCCAGGCTCGTGCGGACCACAGGCACAGGTAGGCTTCGGGACCACGACCCGACGAGCGCTTCAGCCTGCCACTGTTCCGTTCGGATCCTTCTTCTCGAACGCCCCGTCGTCGTCTTCTTCTTCTCTCTCCCCATGGCTTGGCTTGACTTTGACGACACGATTCCGCCTTTTCCTTGTCTCATCGTCATCTTCGTCGGCCTACGGCACAGCACAAACTCACAAACATCGCGCACCAGATGAACCTACCGCGCATATCATGACAGGCACATGCCACGGGCTACGGTATGCGGGTATGCGCCACAGGTGATTGACAATTTGTCTACTCTTGCAAGCACGGCGAGAACAGACAGTAGTCATTTCAACGTGAGAGTGTTCAGAAAAAAAAAACGACATTGGCAGCGTTGAATGGACAAATGTACAGAATAAATATCAGGGTCCCAGCCGTATTTAAACCCAACCATTGTGAATGGTATACAAGTATTCTAGCATACAACCACGCCTGGTCTCGGAACTGCTTTTGATTGATATCTGGAGTTTTCGTGCCAAAACCACCATACGATTATGAGAGACGCCGAATGGAGGGCTCCGATAATTCGACCACCTGGTGTTCTTTAACGTGCACTCAAATCTGAGCACACGGGCCTACAACACTTCCACCTCCATCGGAAATGCAGCCGCCGCAGCCGGGATTCGATCCCGCGGTCTGCGGGTCACTAGCCGAGTACCTTAGCCACTAGACCACCGCCGCGGGGCTCGGAAGGGCTTTTGAAAAATACACTAATGTTGGTGTAACATCAACTGTGGCTGTGGTTCTGGCTATGTAAATTTATAAACACTACATCACATTATTATGATACTGCCTTCACGTCAGAATAACGTCAATTATAGTTAAGCGCCATGTACTGAAGGCTATGCAAGTAGCACCGTCGCAGACCATCATTGCGAGCACATACATTACATATCAACTTACCGCGTCGGGTATTCGAATACCCATGTTCCTGTTGGCATCGTTACGCAATCATAAATAACTGGTTATATAAAACATATGCGACTTTTGCACATATGTCTGCGCGTACATCATTTCACATACTTTCAGTATTGTTTAATAAGTTTTCTCTCAATAAAAAAATACAACAGTCACCTTTTGTCCGCATGCTTCAAATAAAATAGACCCCCAAGATATGTGGGATCTGCCGAACTTGTTAAATTCATATATATTAGGACGAAGGTGTTTTATGCCGGGGTCCACCATGGCTTCGCGGACGTATTTTTTTTTTCTCGAACACGACGTCGTAAATCATATGCCAACAGATTGCAAAGAATAAAACGAGAAAAAGTTTTATAGCCGGGCATTGAACCTAAAATCTCTAGCTTCAACAGGCACGGCGCGAAATCACATAGCCACGTAACATACGTTGAACGCCCCGCCGCGGTGGTCTAGTGGCTAAGGTACTCGGCTACTGACCCGCAGGTCGCGGGTTCGAATCCCGGCTGCGGCGGCTGCATTTCCGATGGAGGCGGAAATGTTGTAGGCCCGTGTGCTCAGATTTGGGTGCACGTTAAAGAACCCCAGGTGGTTGAAATTTTCGGAGCCCTCCACTGCGGTGTCTCTCATAATCATATGGTGGTTTTGGGACGTTAAACCCCACATATCAATCAATCAATCAACATACGTTGAACAACTAGCTAACAGCAAGCCATTTATATTCACTGTATACCGTTTGTGGTCTTCACAGTTGAGCAACTTCAGCGTGTTTCGGTCACCATTTGCGAGATTGCGCGAAAGGCAAGCGTTCGGCGGGTTCTAATTGTCGTCGCCCCGCGCGGTGCCCCCGTGCGCGCGCACTTATCTCGTGGCCACTTTCTACCTCTTGTGCTTCCACGGAAGCTTGCTTTGAAGTTACAGTAATTAAAGAGAGCATCAAGGTCACTTCGCCATGTACGAAAAGAGTGCGCTGCTCACACATGAAAAGTAAGAATTTCGACAGTTGTGTATGACAGTTTTACTGTGCATATTTGGTGCTGTGCGAGTTGTTAGTCCGCGCTCGTCCTGTGTATTCTCATCATGCTTTTTACTGCTTGAGGAGCTTAATGTAATTTCAAACTGCTTACCGATGTTCGGATGACATTACAATTCGTTGTTGTAGCAATCATTCATTCGCCGTTGCGTCGAAACGTTGTCCGAAAAACGCTCAGCTTCCTCGGTAAAGACAAATTTGACTTTCGTGTTATAGCAATTTTTTTACCCTGGGATTAGCCAAGTTTCTTTTATTATTGAGCAGCCCTTTCCTCTTACACAGGGACATTGTTAGGCGCATCAATCCCAGCATTCTACGACGTTTTAAATGTGGTGGAATATTAGCAGATGTATATTTCATACTCTGAAACAGCAACTGTTCATAAATTAAGCATGCCAAGTCATGCTATAAGAAATTAAAGTATTATAAGAGATGCTGTTGAAGTGATATAAACCCAAAAAATATTATATGACGAAAACGCGCCCAATGTAAGAGAACTTAGTGGAAAGATTGGCACAAACAAGGCTGATCAGGAGTGTTGTCACCTGAAGCATTCAGCTTGTACACGTACAGGATCCCCGATGGGCCCGTCACTATCTTGCCTTGACAGTAGACTATGTCAAATAGCTCAATAACACAGTGTAGGCGCAAAAGCACATATAACGCGTGCTGCAACATTAGGTCTGCGGAGTTCCAGGTATGTTGGCGGAGATGTCACACTGAGCCTACAGCCCCCTCTGCTGATTCAATTAATTGAGCTAGCCAAACCCGCGTTACTGCCACATAGTATAGCAAGATAGGGTGCGCAAGGTTTTTAGCGACCTTCTGCAGCGCTTATAGCACCACTTTTGTGACTGAACGGCCCATGGCGCGCTCAAAGAAGGAGACATGGGCAGTGTGTCGCCACTCTGCTTTCTGCCCAGCTGCCAACGTTGCACTCCCTTTGCGAAATTCCTCGAAGAAGCCTTTCTCTCTCTCTCTCTCGTAGGCCTTACCTCGATTCTACAGCGCAACACACGATGAGATCTTTTTGAAACTTTTTGAGGACCATCATGGCATCGATGACACTGCGAACACATTTTCAGTTGGAATGCTCCTCGCCATGCCGTGCTATTTCTGCCATAAAACGCTAAAAGAATCTGCGTCGTTGCGACACAATATTGTCCGAAGGCACCATTTCCTTGCAAACATGATTAATATATGTAAGCAGTTGCTTTCCATCGTTAGTGAAACAAGAATTGTTATTGAACAAAGGTCTGTACCTGAGACGTTTTCGGAATTCCAGGATAAAATGTATGCCCTGTAATAGCAGAACAATTTTATGAGCCGCAGTATAGACACCCTAAACATTAATTTACCCATTTCTAATTACCCAGCTTTTCGGTGGTGACATCAACTTGAACTTCGCATGCAGTGGTTGTTCGGAAATGCATCATTCACCTATGCCTAAAAGTTAGCTAAACTGACGCCCGCTCACCTGCTTTATCCACAAAAGCTTTGGTGGCTGCATCTCGGGTGACATGCTTCCGCCCATGAAGCGAAGCACAGAATGTCCAGTCGCATTTATGGTTTCAGCCTGTGACACGGCGCGGTGGTCCATCCAGAGCAGGACATTCTGCTCCGGCTCACCTGCGATTGTAAAGTATGTGGTTGATTACTATATACTAATTAGGCAGACAGAAGGCATATGCTCTAAAGAGAACCGGCCACCACTTATTTTGTACACTAAATGCGGCTCTGTATAGAGCAAGAAAGGTGCAGGTCATTACATAGCTTGTTGGGAATGTATCATGGTGTTATGCGTATCACAAACATTTTCTCTTGCGGCTCCTCAGTTCATTTTTTTTAAAACGTGAAGCACCTTAGGTGCTCGGCTTGTCGGCACCTCTTGCCATCACGGCGTGTCATGTGGTCACAGTCTATCTTAAAAACGGGCATGCCTAAAAAAGTCGGGTGAATCCCGCTGCTCCTTACCGGCACACTAAAAACGAAGCAGCAGCAGTTAGATCAACAGATAGCCGCCCAAGTTAGGGGAACTCAAACAACCTTGATGTCGTATAGGGAACTGAAACGGGCATGAAGGGACAAAGAAGACTGCATGCTTTTCCCTTCCCAAGTAACTAAAACCTCCTTCCCTACATGCTTCTCTCGTCCGCATATTCTTCTCTCTTCTTTGTAACAAACATAACGATCCAGCTCATTTTCTGTCGTTATCAGCCGATTTCACGCCACCGCTTTGTATGATCCAAGCCAATCGACTATGAACGGCCTCCACGTGCGCCTGGTGAATCATCATTAAATACATAGGGTGGTACCACGCGCACTGTACTTACGGATTGAAACGTGAAATAAAATCGTTTAATATAAGGACTGGTGTATGCAAAAGAACTTGAAATAACCATGACACGTCGCTGCTAATTTCGCCACTAACAAAAATGTTGGCTCTGAATTGCATGTTCAAGTCAAAATCACGCCGATATGAAAAGAAATGAAGATGGTGCAAACGGAAGTACTTGCATTAGTTAGCACTGACCACTGTACACGCCACGTATATATAGTAAGAAAACAATGCAGCTTTGTGGGCCCGTTAAGTAATATAGCGTTTAAGTTTATGTGTGACCCAATATACTTTGGGGAAGCACACGTCGTATCCGTGAGCCACCATGAACTTCTACCCAGATTCTTAAGCCTTACTATTGAACATGCGGGTGCCAAGGCGAAATACAAGAAATGTTATCCCAGCTAATCCAAGAAAAGCATACTTTTCCAACGTTTTGCAAAAGAGTGTCGTAATTACAGCATAACAAGATATGTCGGAACAGAGATAGTAACATTTACGAACCCGTGACCTACGCAAGAAGCGAACCTTTACTGACCCTGAAAAACTTAGTATAGTAATGACGACGCGTGCTATCTCGAATATTTACAACATGATTTGCAACATTACATTACGTGGTAGAACATAAGCGACACATAAGAAGGCTGGCATTTGGGCAGTAAACGCTGCAGTTACTGGTTTTTTGGAATAAATATTTTTTCATGGGTTTACTTTTCCTTCACTTTTCCCGCGTTCTGAAGCTATACAGCAGCAATCGTAGACGAGTGCACGGGCTGCGTTCTTGAGCTTAGCTCGGGCCCACTGGCTGCGTCGAAGGCCTGCCATAAAGGGCTGCTAACCCGCCTGGCCTGGCCCGACGTATAAAAAATCGGCAGCATATCCACGGAGTGAATGATGGAGGGTGGGTCGAAGCATTCGTCCGTCCATTCGTTCTTGCTTCCTTCCGTCTGTGCGACCGTCCATGCGTCCATGCGCCCGTCCGTGCGTGCGTCCGTTCCTGCGTTCGTCCATGCATCCGCCCCTGCGTCCGTTCATTCGTCCATTCATGCATCTGTCTGTGTGTCCGTTCGTCCATTTATTCAACACTCCAAGTACCACCATCTCGCATCTTTTCATCATATATTCCCCATATAGGAACACCGCCATCCAGCGGACATTCCAAGGACTAAACGAGAGGTGGCAAACGCACACTTTCTAACAGCTTGCGCTTCGGGTCTACTTCCCACCTTTAACCACCTCGAGTTCATGGTATATACTAGTTCAATGTATTCATGGCACTGCGGCCCAACACTCGCTAAACCTTTCTAAAACCAAGGAGGTTACGCCCAGCGAGTATAACGTAGCAACCTTTTCCTGGCAGATAGAGCTCAATGTACATGCCAATGGCTGCATGGGAAATGAGAGACAGGAGAATTCGGCTTTTACTTTCTTACGGCTTGCACTTCGTACCTACTTCCCACCTTTAACTACCTCGAGTTCATTCATGGTATATACTAGTTCATTGTATTCATGGCACTGCGGCTCAACGCTCACTAAACCTTTCTAAAACTAAGGTGGTTACACCCGGCGGGTATAACGTAGCAACCCTTTCCCTTCAGATAGCGCTCAATGTACATGCAATGGCTGCTAATGGGGATTGCAGCGTGCACGTTAACTAAAAGCCGAATGCTCCTGTCTCTCATACCCTCTTATCAACTATTTTTTGTTGTTCAACAACGCACAGAAGGAATCTCTGACCAGCACCACCTTGGAGGTCAAAATGTTTGCAGGTCAAAACGTAAGACTGGTTACATACTACGACGAGACGCGGGACAAACGGGTGCCGCTATAAGGAGCTTCGCCCCTAAAACAAGAACCCGAGCCCGACCCGGTCGCGTATTTGAAACTACTGGTCCCGCATCGCACGAAAGAGAGAAAAGAAAGAGTGCGAGGAGGGCGCCAGTGCCAGCGTAAGGATTGCTCACGCGCTATTAGTTCCTCTCTGTAGGTGACGTGCACACCTGTAGTTGACATGCTGGTGACGCACGCACGCGCCCGCGATGGGATTTGCGGAGTTTTCCCGGCTGTTCGATCGTACGGAAGCACCCACAACCTGCCACCACACTCTTTCTCTACCTTTCCCTTCTGCCTTTCTTCGTCCCTCTTTACCTCTCCCTGTAAGAGCTGAGCTGAACCGTGCTACCCACAAGAGTTGCGGAAGAGTGACTGTTTTTTTTTGTTTCATTCAATCAACCACTACTTCATACGCGCCACTTTTGGCATGGTCGACGCTCATGTGCGAATTGAAGTTTGAAATTACCATCTAACGTTTGGTCATGTGCATCGCACTTCTGTCTCACACCATACCAGTTCCAGCTGCCCTTGCAGAAACACGATTCCGACTGTCATGGCAGAGGCCCAGATGCTCACATCTGAATCAGACGCTAGCACATCAAACGTGAAGCGTGTTTCGGTCAACGACGAGGTTCTGAATGACATGGCAGCCACACGCACGTTTACGTGCGAAACAGTTCGGCCTGCCCATCTGACGTGAAGTGCCTCCTCGTCGACCTCTGCACAGACGGATGCGCATGAGTGGCTCGCAAGCTACAGCAAGGCAACTAATACGACGATCCACGTCGTATTAGCTGCCCTGCTGCTGTCTGTGCTGAAGACGTCGTGGAAACACTTCACGTTGACAGTCGGAACCTCTTCGCTCATTGAAACCATCACCGTGCTATTGCCATCTTATTGAAACTCACCAGCTCGTGCCCTCGCCGCACGGTTGGGATTCATCAAAGGCACACAAGGGACGAGGGTGCTTACGCACGATGAAACAGTCTTAAACAATTCTCTGTGTTTCCGTGAGAGATCGGTGGCTGAGCGAGAATTCGTCCCATCATTTAACCATATGGTGTAGTAGCGCAAATTTGACGGGGACGAAGAAGACAAGAAAACACGACACTCGCTACACGAAACACGACACTCGTGTTTTCTTGTCCTCTTCGTCCCCGTCAAGTTCGCGCTACTACACCATATGGTTAAATGATGTCTCACCAACTAGCCCAGCTATCAACCCTACTGAATTCGTCCCATATTTTTGCCTCAAACGACCACGAAGTGGGCAATCTTGGTGGGTTAACAATGCCCTCTCCGAGGCTTCCATCACGTCTGAATAGGCAGCTCGAGCACGCACCGGAAGTATTTTCTTCGCCACCTTCTTGTGTATCCCCAACCCCGTCCCTCGTTACCATGGAATATGGCGGGGGCTGCGCCGCTTAGCCGGAAAGGGATAAAAGCCGAGCGGGGAGCATCACTGAAATTGAGGTGCAGGTTAGAAAGTTTAGTCTGTGTTGCGGTGTCAGCAGCGCGCGCGTCACCAGCACGTCACCTCCAGAGGCGAACCAATAGCGCGCGAGCAATCCTGGCGCTGGTGCTGGCATCCTCCTCGCACACTTTTTTTCTCTCTCTTTCGTGCGACGCGGGGCCAGCAATTCCAAATACGCGGCCCAGTCCGCTCGCCTTTTTGAAGGTTTGTAGGGGAGACAAGGCGTATTTTACCAATAATGTGGTGTTTTAGTCAGCATAATAAATTTCATGATGAGCAAATGACACTTGAAAGGCATATTATACAGCCCGATTACAAGTGGTCGCTTAAACATAACAAGCTGTTCAATGATTCAAGCTTCGGTGAAGTGCGGCGCCCCTGCATCACATATCCCTTCAAACTGAAATTCCATTCACTGCTCGCACTGGAAGCCGGAATTTCTAATAATATTTGCGAAAGCATATAGATCTTGGTACTTTTGAACTTGTTTTTCAAGAAGTTTAGCGCCTCAGACGCTGCCCAGGAGGAATTTTTGATGGTTAGATAATCTGGAAGCTCATTTAGTGTGCTCATTGCTTTATGATGAAAAGCAATTGCGTCACAACATCTACATTTCTGGCTTCATTCAGATGTAGCACCTAGCCCCATCCCGACCCGGGTCCGACGAGATAAGGCTTCGCCCAACCCAATCCGGGCCCGATCACCGGGCTCGTGCCGGTTGAGGCGGCCCGTGCAAACCTCTAAGTAGCAGTAGCAGCGGAAGCCGCCGCAAAAATATCCCCAACATGCGTAACACTTTGCATGTACACGTAGAATTGCAGGGTATAAACCACAAGAACTACGAGAGAAAATAAAAAAGTAAGTACTTGCAGTACGAGTTTCCATCAAGCCTGCAATGAAACATGGCTACTACCACGGTTATTTAATACTTTTTTCTGGTCATGAAACTCCCGCGCACTCAATAGCAGAGCTTTATACGCCACCCACACTTTCCACGCTGCGGCGCTGGAGTAGATAAAGGGCGTAGATCCTGGTTGATTCATGTGTGCACGTAGGAGGAACAGGGTGGCTAATTAGAACGCAGACTTAGAGGTCGTGGACATTGGGAGAGTACATGACAGTAGGTAAAAAAAAACCGCGTATAACCTCGTCTGGGTTATCAAATCTGCATGCGTAAATTTCAAAAGCTTTGGTTTCGAAAAAACACGTAGTACCTATGTCTAGCAGCTCACAGCAGTTTCACCTCATTTTTTTTATCTTTAAAATCAAGGGCGCAAAATATGACACCAAATAAAAAAACGAAAAGAACACAACTTGAGCATTCTTATCCGTCGTGTGGTGTCTCACTCTAAGCTTTTAATTTTTCGGCTTTATCCCTAACGATATTCCTCAAGAGGTACTTCAAGCCTAATAATACCAAGTGACCCTGATATGCAGATTTCTTTAGTGGCACGCACACTTCAATTGGCTGCTTCGAATAGGAAATGTCCTATTCACACTTTCCAGCACCTATAGGGGGCGCGGAGAGCGTTTCGTTTCAATATGGCGGGTCGAGAGGAGATGGACGCTACCTGAAAGCATGCGCGCCTCGAGAATAAGGCGGCTTTCGGGCCTCTGGTATCTCTAAGTGCTAAACACTGAGATGTATAGTCGAAAGAGAGGCCGCGTTTATAGCTCGCCACGTTTTGCAAACTCTGTACGATATGCGAGAATTTAGAGCAACAATGGTAGCGCTGGTGTAAACAAAGCGCCACACGTGCGCCACTCTAGTCGGCTTAGCTGCAAAATGATCGTTAAAAGTAGTCGAGTGACACGGACGCAATGAAACGGGGGTGATTTAGAAGATAGTAACGCCACACACGCGATTGCGCTTAGCTCGTTGTCCATTTTTCGCCATATCGCAGCATGACTACGACGCGCCCGCACCAACTTATACTATCACCGTCTTCCGGCTTCCGAAAAATTTGGCGCACTGGTGCTAGCTGATCTGGAAAGTCCGCACGAGATATCTATAGAAAGTTTAAGCAGGAAATTGACAAGGAAAGGATCCATGATAATACTGGGGGTAGTTCTCTACTGTTTGATGCTAGGACGGGAGTATTGCAAACTAAGACTTATCTGGCCGAATACGAAGGTGTAGACACGGTATGCAGTGCGTGTGGAGATGAAGAGGAAACTGACGAACACTTGATAATGTTCTGTAAAGGGCTTCACTCTATAGTTCAGGATAATGGCACAGAGTTTTTCAAAGCGCTGGGGTTTAGGGACAGGGAAGGCAAAATAGGCGTTAAGCGGGTAAAATTAACTAAAAGGAGGTTATCTGATTGGTAGCTGAAGCAAGGCACGAGTGAAAATCAAACACTTCACTGCAAAGTACGAGTCTTCAACCTCCCTATTTAAAAGGGAAAAAAGAAATCTAGTTTTTGGTTCACTAAATATTACGGCTTGGTGGCGTTAGCCACCACCCGATCTAAAGGGTACAACCATATCCATCCATCCATCCATCCATCCATCCATCCATCCATCCATCCATCCATCCATCCATCCATCCATCCATCCATCCATCTATCCATCCATCGATCCATCCATCTATCCATCCATCCATCCATCCGTCCGTCCGTCCGTCCGTCCGTCCAGTGCGAATAGAATAAAGTGACAATTATTTTGAAAATGAACGTTACGTGCTGCCAGAGCATAGCTGCTCCGCAATTTTTAGTGCAGACTAGGCTAGCTTTTCAATCATCTAGAACCAGTCACAGTGTTTCTGAAAGTGAACATGTAGAAATTGAGGAATTTAGGAACGCACGAATGTGCGTCACTTGGCTCAGTTAAAACACTGCCAGTAATCAAGGACATAAAAAATTTGACAACGCACATCATGGGCCACTTTGACAATACTAATACCAGCTATGATTTGTTAGCGAGAGCACGGAGAACTAAAATATCTGAAGAAAGGTATTTGATGAAACACGCATCTGCGAACGCGCTACAGGCCTGCCAAGCGTGGCCGATTGATGCCCTCCTGCTTACGGTGGCACCACTGGTGCTGGGGAGGACGTAGGTCCGCAGGTTGGCAGTGAGATGTTCAGGGACGTTTCACTTACATTCAGTGAAGTGGCTAAACACTACCAGTTGAGTAGGTGGTCATTTCCTTCACCGCACAACAAGTTGTCTAGACTTCAAGCCATCACGTTTAGATTGCTCTACACCAGGTCCTATCTAAGCCTATTTTTTCTCAGCATAGTCTCCTCCGAGGCTTTTGACTCTACCTGCCCTGATTGTGGTGAGGTTAGTGACTTGGCACATTAGCTCTGGCAGTTCCCCTCATTACGGAGCGCAAGTCGGCTCACAGAAGAAGATTGGGACTCTGCCTTACGAAGTTCAGAGTTGCTACCACAACTACGGGCTGTCCAGAGAGCCCACGACGCGGCGGTGAGGCTAGGACTCCCCGTTGCTACGTGGGAGAGGCCCGCGACGTTGCTCTAAAGGAGCAGCGTTTCTCAGGACCCAATAAAGTTCTTTGTCTGTCTGTCTGACTGGTGGTCACTTTTGTCCCCATATGAAACTTTCGTGGGAGTTTTATTACCAAAAAAGTACTAAATAACCATGCTACCACTAACGAATCTGCGTTAGATGGGAAGCGTCTGATGCTGCATAAAATGGGCCGAAGTCTATCTTGTGGTCGAGAAGCATTAGAATATTTGGCTGCGCAATACCTTTGGGGCTGACGGTCAATGGTCGACCGGAGTCGTCAAGGACCACAAGTGAGCAGGTGGCGTCGAAGCCGACGCCGCTCACGTTCTTGGCGTCTCTGCACACCTCCTGCACGAGCATTTGTACAATTTAAACTGTTATGGTACTTTCCGGTATTTCCATCATTTTTATCGGGGCTACCTGGAGTGACGAGACTCAGTCCAGGTAGCCACGGTAGCCTTTTGGCTCAGGCCTGGCCCCTCAATAATTTTTCCTATATAAACCAGAGCACAATGTGGCTCGACCGTTTACGCACCAAGCCTCGGCTGGCCACACTCCACCGATTATCGACGACTGAGAGTATATTGACAACTTGGGCGACACGGGTTTATTGAACAGACGTACATTCCCCCTACCTCACTCCAAAATTAAACAAGAAAGTCTATTCCATGGCTGCAGTTACAAATTCAATCTTCTTCATCTACAGCTCTTGTGCAAATAACACAGCCAGATTTATACACGACAGAAAAGTGCAGAGATCACGACCGTCGACTCTAGAGCCATCCTATATCTTATGAGGATGTCCAGGCATAAATAAACTATGGCCATGATGCAGACTCAAAGAGCGACCACTGTATGAGTCTGCTGCTCAAAACAACACACGCTGCCAGGAGTCTGCGTTGGTCAGCTTGGACCTGGATGTGAAACTCTGGATGTGAAACGTCTCGCCAAGTGCAAGCGCGAACCGTCACGTCGAATCGAGAGAGACAGAGAGACGTTAAGTGTGCATAATCATACTGTGAAATTGAGATGGCGCCTCAGCACAGATACGATTACCTAGAACATGTATAATAGTTGTCACGGAGTATTGCTTCGATAAGCTAGAAAAGGCGATATTCTAATCCCACGATAGCGTAAACAAAGCTACTTAGTTCGTTTGCTTGGTGCAAGAGGCATCGACACCTTTCCGATGATCGGACACAAACTGGAATGTGCTTGCGCATAATCTGGGAGAGGAAAATGCTAGAAAGGTCGTTCATCGAAGCAATACTTCTGTGCAGACTTGTTCATACCTAAAAACTCTACTTGCTGCCCAAGTTGAAAGAAAATATTGAAGTGATGATTTTGGTTTCTCTACTGAATGCTAATAGGAAAGGACATTAATATATTTTCACTAAGCTGAAGCAATATAAGAAATAATAGTAATACAAAGATGAATAAATACTAACAAAATAAGATGACATTGTAATAATATGAAAACACTAATAATATTTTAACATTGCTAGCTCTGTGCTTCCTCCATAAAATGAAATATAGCACAGTAGTAATACGAAGTATCGTATACATTCTTTTCTTATTTAAACGGCGGGGTGGGGGAGTTGAATGTGTACACCCCATGACGTGATTAGTGGGCTCGTGATAGACATATCACTTTTCGCCACATCACGCCCTATAGCTCATGCGCTTCAATCAATGTATGAATAGGTGCTCTTGCATTTTGCCCCAGGTCGAATTGTGGCCGTCATAGCCGGGATTCGAACCCGTGCTCCTGTAATTGCAGCAACGCAAGACAACGCACCGTTTTCAATATTCATAGTGAGAATTCGACGCGTGGATGTACGATATTCACCACAGTCACATGGTGCTTAACCGTTTGAACACTGGCCTTGTTGTCGACAAGCCCGGGTTTTCATTCAACGAAGTCAGTGTTCCCGCCAAATGCGACAGCAAGTTCCCTGCAAAGCACCGACGTGCATTGACGCGTGCACGCAGCAGGGGGAGGGGGGAGCGCTGCAGTAAATCATCGCTTCCCCTCTCCCTACCCACCACTCCTATAGGAGAAACGCTTGCGCCGACGGGCTTCAAGTTTTTTTCCTATTTTCGGAGGCCCCTCCTTGTCACTTTTGGACCGAGTAGGCCGTCTATTTTGAGCCCCTCAGTTGCAGCCCTCCAAGTTTTTTTTTTGTAATCTATGTGTTCCTTTTTTTTCGTGAAACGTTTTGAAACCTCCGCAACTACTTAACCAATCCGCGCGAGCTTGTCGCTTCACGCGCGGAAACACATGCGCAAGAACACACGTGCAACTCAGGGTCAAACGCCCTTATGACACGTAAACACAGGTTTAGAATAGCTCTACAATGCTCGTTGACACAAAACTTCGCAGGATTAGCCTTCTCAAGATGCATGTGCCCACTACTTTTCTCCAACGCTCGGACTACTGTGGAAATGAAAGCTAGAGACTTTGTCACTATGGTTTATCTGGCAGAGGGAACATTGCTATAGTGAATTCATATAATATCGATATTGACTGAATAGAGCTAATGAGGAGAGACAGGCTACAATATTCTGGTGTTATTTTGCGCTTGATGCATATTATATCGACTGCCTCGAAATGAGATTCTATGATAAATACGAAGCCCCATTGCTTCTAAAGTACAAAAATTATATCACGCTCATTTCTTATGCCAGTGGTCTCGTCCGAATGAGAAAAAAATGTTCACGTCATTCTGTCATATCAGCGAAACCGTGCACCTTCAAGTTTTTTTTTCACCCCAAGTTCATTTCTTCGAAGCAAACGCACTGCTTCGATAAAGTGGATAGGTTAATAAAAACGTGTTCGTCACGCCTCCTTGGACACGATGGGGATAGGGGTGGCTTGCTTGGTGATGAACTGAAATGCAAGATGGTGGTGGAAGGCCCTCTAAAAATAACGCACTGTACTTTTAGTGAAGTGTTTTATTGAACAGGCATACACTTAATGTCTTTGCTGATACGGATTGAATATTGTGGGAAATTTCACGTGCTACGCAAAAAAAAGAAAAGGCGTTCTTCAAATGTTCTGATTATTTGTGGCGACCCCGAATGCAACCTCAAAGCTCCATGATCTAAATGTACAAAAAATTGTGCATACTTGTCTGAGCACTTAGAAGTTGTATTACTAGGAACCAGTGCTGCGCGATTCTGTAGCGATGAACAGGTTGGAGGGGGGGGGAATTAGCGGCAGCGGAAGAAATGGGTGATTGGGCACACTTGGTAGTTCACGCATATTTCAAATTTGCCCAGACAATGAAGTGGACGCTTCCTCTGTACTTCATGGTAGTGATATACCTACAGACAGCGTCGCTGCAACATGTAACGTACGTAGCCAAGACGCCAGCGCAAAACTCATGAGCAGTGGCTACAAACATGCGCAAAGCTTCAGATATACTGTTCTGAAACTACGCATTATGTTTCTCAGAGCAGCTAACGAAGAGCTTTGTTGAACAGCGGGAGACCTCATTGGAGATATACCTCTGCCATTGGATGATGTGCACCTGAATAACAAGCGGCAACAGGCCGTCGCTGTCCTTGAAGATAACGCTGTCGTAGCCTTACCGATAAGCAGCTATACATAGCTCGTGCACACCGCTGGCATAACACACGTGGAAGAGATTGTACAAAGAGAAACAAGACAAGCAGGACAGCGACACGCGTCTGCCCAGGTGTTATCTTTGTTGCTCCTCAGAATAGATTGTCCGCTCGGACCACGGAAATGTGAACATGATCAATAAAGTGGAATGTTGGGCCAGTTGGTAAAACATAATGTGGAAATGTATGAGCGCACAAGGTAGAAGGAAAAGCACTTGACAGGAAAGACGCTCAGGCAGCGTCTTTCCTGTCAAGTGCTTTTCCTTCTACCTTGTGCGCTCATATATTTTCACATTATGTGAACATAATCTTTTGAAGGAATGCTACTATGAAACACGCGTTCAGTTTTTTAAAGCAATTTGCTTTTCAGAACTGTCTCCAATAATTTATTCATCACACATCCACAAGTACGTTTCGCGAAGAGAATTTCAAGGATAATGTTTCGGTATTGCATTTCCCGTCGAAACATCACTTGAATGCGAGTGTGACTTCGTGGATTTCCACGCACGTTTTCTTTTATCCCATTTCGGCCTTACCGACACAAAAAAACGTTCCTAAAGCTGCTATACTAGATCCCCGGTTCCATTACATCACCGGTACCGACGCCACTTGTATCTTCTTGTTAAACGTTTTCTCCCGTACAGCAAGCATCTTTCTCGTGGGGCACACTCGTATCACTCGCATGTCTTTTCATTGTAGACGAAAATTTTGGAGGAGGGCCCGGTGCATCACACTCCAATACCACTGCGGCCACGTCGTTCTTTCACTCTTTTTTTCGCATTCTTTCAACAACTCAAACAGTGTGCTCTCATGGTAATCAAAGCTTAAGACCAACTCGCTTCAACGCGACGTCACGCCTGCTTTTAGCCATTTTAGGTGGTCCTTTAGAAGTGACGATAACTTTGTTCATAAGTAACGACGCTGGCATTAACTATCCAATACGTTAGTGCACTTATGATCGGGCGTAAAGATGAACATTATAATGACAGCGTAAAAATCGCAAACAATGTTTGGCTGTCTGGGGTCAATAAACTGTCTACCTCGAGACCTGACAGCCTAAGTTTCAATCGATAAGTAACCTGGCGTCGGTGTACCTTGATAGCTTCGCAGCATGCGCTCCATATCTGGTCCGATGACTGTTGGTAGAAACCAGGCTGCGGGTTCCAGTTTTCCAACGGTCGCGACGCCGTCTTCAAGAAGCGTCCTCGGTCAGTGACGAGTGCAGCGCGCACGCTCTGAGTTCCCACGTCTACGGACAGGAGGAGCATGATCCGTGCATGTGACTACGGGGGATGCGGTTGATCTGCACTGCGAGTGCGACTCCTCGCGCTATTGATTCGCGGGCCCGAAGCCAGCCTGTGGAGAAGCGATGAGAGGACGCCCATGTAGGGATAGCGGTGGCATGGCGCCTACTGACGTCGGACTCTGGAGTTTTGCGGACACGCAGCGCCACCTGTCAACGCAGTTTTGAGTAGTGCAAAGCTCGACTCCCTTGAACGGTTTGTTGCGCAACCAGGTGCAACTGCAGCGCTCGAAACTACGTTTGAGCGAAGTATTAATGTATTTTCGCATTGAACACTCAGACAAAGAGCTACAAATTTACCTCGGCAAGTCGGACGCGTCACCGAACCGCCGTGAAGTGCTCGCTGGTTATCTCACCTGAACGATGGCGAAAACAAGAGCACTCGCAACAGCTCCGCGCTTTACTAAAAAAAGACCTCGTTTTGCGCCACTGCTGCGTTGTGCGTCGTCAAGGACGTAAATGACTTCAATTTTACTGATTTCTGCACTTTCACAAAGCAGAATGGCGAGATCGCTAAATACAGGCCGTTGCGAACGTGTTGGGTAAGCGAATTACTCGCGTTCTCTACAGCCGTTCACTTAAGTGTGATAGTGTAGGTCTCCTGTTATTGTTTTCAGTAGCCTTGACAGAGAACCGTGGTAACTTTTATTATGAAGCTTAACAGACCCCCTGACCGCGGTGCGTACGTACAACAGTAGACAGGTGACGCCCGACGGTTCGGGAACCGCACACGCCACTCCCATAGATAATCTGAAGTTGTCACCACTACACAGAATTGCGCACGTAGGGCTTTGAAGGCTCTAAGTCCCGGCTTTACCTAGGAACGCGTGCGTCACACAGGTAAATCGCAAAATTATCGCAACCACAATCAGTTTTCATCTCTTTTTTTTTCGTTGGTCTCTGCAATTACCGGAGCTATCTCGGAGGCATCCGTTTTGCCTTTAGTTGTACACTGAGAAATTGGACACGCATGTATCCCCATTTGCAGTATATACAAACGGATGGCAACCATCAACAGAACATTCGAACATGCGCAATAAAACAGTTTAATGCGCAGGAAGCGAGAAATTTTGAAGGAAAATCGAACTGCAGAGCGAAATTACCCAGGGCTATTCGCGCGAGATAAAGCAAGCTTCACACCACTGATCACATAAATGGTTCGTGTATGCACTTCATCAATTTGGCATTATGCGTATGGCCAAGTTTAACGCTTATAAGTCTTACAGAACGCACGTCGGAGTGCTTGCCTCGAAGTTGGTGTCATGCGACGCTCACTTGGATTCAAATTACCAGTTGCAGCACGCCGAAATAAATAAAAAATTTTTGTATTGTGCCCACACTTCGTGTTGATGAGCTTCCTACTTTTACGAAGCGAGGTTGGATTGAAGGAAGAAGCTTGCCAAGTCCTGGATTTTCAGGAAACCGCGCCTCAAGACCAATGAAAGAGGAGGGTCTACGCACGTTCGCTTGCGGGTGGCTCTCTGTGCACTACCCATTTATGGCCGGCGTGGCGATGGGGGTGCTGGCGGCGGCATTTTTGGCAGTACCACCTGGGCAGAGTCTGAAGTCCATCTGTGTGGTGTCCAAGTAGCAAGTACTGGTGAGGTGTAAAGATGTGATTAAGAAGACTACATATAAAACGGGGGCAATGCGTGATCCTTTTCATCCGCGGAAGGCCCCCTCGGAGTCTTGCAAATGGCTTTACAGCTATGCAAAAAATTAGGGTGTTCTAAATTTTATTTGTTATAAGTTTGGGTCTTCAGAATTAATCGTTTTGTAGACGTTTTCAACGGTTAAATTATGTCACCAATTAGAGGCACGTCTCTGTATTCCTCGTAGTCGTCTTGTTCACGTATATCAACATCATAAAAAAATTTAACTCAAATAGCTACTCTATGGCCTTGATTGATTGATTGATTAGTGGGGTTTAACGTCCCAAAACCACCATTTGATTATGAGAGACGCCGTAGTGGAGGACTCCGGAAATTTTGACCACCTGGGGTTCTTTAACGTGCACCCAAATCTGAGCACACAGGCCTACAGCATTTCCGCCTCCATCGGAAACGCAGCCGCCGCAGCCGGGATTTGAACCCGCGACTTGCGGGTCAGCAGCCGAGTACCTTAGCCACTAGACCACCGTACTCTATGGCCTCAAAGTAATGCACGTAACACAGAGTGAAAATTCATTAGGGACGTTCAGTGCACTAATGCAGTGCAAGTTTTGCATTTTCATGAAGCATTGCGTCCGCATTTGTATACGCTCACTTGAAATGCCTGGGCGTATATATATATATATATATATATATATATATATATATATATATATATATATATATATATATATATATATATATATATATATATATATATATATATATATATATATATATATATGTATATATATACATAGTGGCTGGGGGATAGCCACCGTTGTAGCTTAGTGGGAGAGCATCGAACGCGTCATTCGAATGTAAGGTCGCAGGTTTGGTTCCTGCCCCCGGCAAGTTATCTTTTCACCCACTTATCTTTCTTCACGTTAGCATTACAATTCAGTGTAATACCTTCCCCTATATATTTATTGGCGTTATTGTCTGTGACATCTCATGCGTTCGGCAAGAGAAACGTGCAACAGAACTGGGCACAGAGCTATCATAGCCATGTCCATGGATAAACAACTCGCCCGAGCCACAACACTTCTTCATTATGAGTTGGCCTTGATACGCAGTAATTGGATAACAGCCACCTCGTGAAGAAACGATGAGAGCCCGCTGGGCTTTGTATAAGTGACCGGGAAAACTACCTGTATGTAAAAACTGTCTGTCAGTGGCACGGCCAGGGTCTACGTAAAGCTTCCGAATGCTCCTCTGCTTGTGTAAAGAAGGAGACTATGTACGTGGATGCCAACGAACATAGTGCTGTGTTTGTAGGTGTGGAGACAATCTTCTTTGTCAGTGGACCATATCAAAAAGTCTAGAAGTTGGATGTTCTGTTGAGTTACTTTTCATCCGAAATGCCACTACCAGGCCACTTTTTATGGGGGGGGGGGGCATGATATGTTTAAACAGAGCCTCGGTACGTGTATCTAACAATAGTTTATTCATAGTTCCTCGTTATTCTTTTTACTGCGATATGAATATTCCTCACGGTGTTTTGATATCGGCATCACCATCACGCACCATATAAAGTCCAAATCGATTACAGCCCCTCCCCCCCTCCTGCCAATTGTTTGTTCTAGCCACGGCAAGCCGACCCATCTTAGTCACTTGAAGGGCGTATGACTAAGATAGCATAAGATAGCAGATAGCATAAAGATAGAGTTTATACAGCTTAGCAGCTTGGACGCGTCGGGGAGGAGGTCCTTCCCATGAATCTCTTCTTTGATTCCGCAATGTGCAATGGAAGAAAGCACGCTCAACGCGGGGCTAGCGTTCGCGAAATAACGACTGCAGAACACCATGTCTCTCGGCAGTGGATCTTCCTGCAAGCAGAAGAAAGAACGTCGTGTACTCGCACCAACACTCTCTTCACTGGCGAGCGTTGCGATGGTTGCGGAGTTGACAAGTGCTGCGTAGGCAGTAAGCGCCATTTTCTTTGCTCGTGAACGTGCGAGTTTTTCTGAAGCTTTATTCTTGTTTCTAGATGATTCTGGAGGCTCTTGGACCATCGCTAACAAGTTTGCTTTTGAAGCCTCGGACTATTGATTCTGCAGTCGCTTCCCAGAGGTGAGTGACAAGCATTTATACTGCTTATGCATTAGCGGTATGGCGGAGGCAGTCATTGCGCCATTTTTATCGCTTGCTTTGAGTTCTGTCTTTATTGTGTAGCTGGTATGTTTATGCGACCGCAACTAAACGAAGAGAGTTTGGGCGTGCATGAACGAGCAAGATGAATACGTAAGCGTCTGTCAGCAGCATAGTTAGTGTGTCTGGTACAGCTGTTAATCAATCATGTAAATTCTGCAAATAAATCAGAGATGTGATGAAATGCTCACAACGAAAATGGCAGTGTACAGGTTGGATGTGTTTAACTAAAGGCTTTGTTCACTGAGGTTTGTTGTGTAAAACACTGACTTTATGGAAATATTACTGCTCACTTGCTCGTACGGCTCGTGTGAGTGTGTTGAGACAATTCACGATGACCTTTCAAAAGCGTTGTTTGCACGACTGGCTCACATCGACAGCTTTTCCAGTTTACGATGAACTAGTTTTCAGATTGTACCACGCGAAGTCACCTTATGTTTCCGTATATTAACGTATGTGACAACAGGGTGGTGTTCAAAGTGATGTTTGGTGCATTGTGGGGTTTAATTGTGCGCATTGCCGTGTCGTGTAATATAAGTTTTTAAAAAACATTCGCACTATATTATCTTTTAAATCACTTTTAAATTGTGCCGCTTTCGACACCAATTAATTTCATATGTCAAGTACTGAGCATTTTTGTGCGAATATGTGCTGCTTCTGTAGTGTTAACGTAGTAATGAACAAGCAGTGATGGCACCGACTAGAGTTCTCAATTTTTTTTGTCCAGTGACAGGCTTCGAGGTTGACGACCCGCTGGTTATTGGACACCTCGACAATGGCCCGCAGCGTGATCTTACCATCGGGAAAAAAAAGGCTCTTTACCATCCGTTTCTCCACGCACGTCGAAAAAGTCCCACATTGATTTTCCGAAGGTAAGGGGAATGGCGTGGTTCGCATTTATTTTCTACTTCGGAAATATTTTATAGATTTACATCAATTTGAGTGTGTGTGTCTCCGTGTGAATGCAGGTGTGTGCGTGCGTGTGTGCGCTCGTGTGTGGGGGCGGGGCGCGTGTGGGTGGTGCGTGCGTGTGTGTGCACGTGTGTGTAGGAGGGGGGGGGGGGTACGGAATGTTTTCATCTGCATGTGTATTTAAACATATATTATGTGTCTTATTACGTTCCAGCTAATTGGAGGTGCTTAAAGCATCAAAACTGCCACAAAGGTAATAC